GCTTTGAAAATATGTTTTATGAATTTGGATTCAATATCACATTTGAATATAAGTTATATCAATATTTTGTATTTTATATTTATATTTTTTGTTCACATGGAGTTCAGTTTTTGTATACTTCGAATTAGGAATTCGAAAATTTTTTTCATCGCCCATTGGAAATTCTAGTTATGCAGATTTTACTTTAACGGAAACGAGTCATTTGGTAATTAGGCGAAGTTTAGACTACTTTTGTGTCGAATTTGTAAACTCTGAAACTAGGAATTGAAAATCCGTTCCGACAGGACAGCTTCACTGGTTATCATGATCTATGGCATTTTTGGCTTATCTTGACAATACATCAGAATTCATGAATTGTACGGAATGCCAGCTGTCATACATTAGTCAAGCTGCCCGACCATTACGAACAAAGATAGTAGACCACAGAGCTGCTATTGTCACGAACCAAACAACCGAAGAAAAGCGACGCTTGGAGAAAAGCTTGGAGACAGCTGTTCAGCAGATTTCCACCGGACACTGCGCAACTACAAATAGTGCATAGTTGCCGACACGCTCTTAATGCAGACAAGATCCAACGTCATGACAGAGATTAAGGAGAAAAATTAATCAGTTACATCATGATTTTCTCGTATTATCGTATCTCATTATATTATATTGTTTGCAGTTGAGATAGGCTAGTAACATCAGCTGAAACCTGGGTCCTGCTCGAAAACCTTGCATCGCATGTAATTTGAATAAAGGCATAACTTACTCTTGAATCAACCTACTCCGTCCAGTACTTACATGCACAAATCGCAATAACCTTTGAAATTGTGCACTTATCAGTTTTTACTAATTTTTATTTTGTTTCGGGTAAAGGTAGGGGGTAAGGGTAAATTAGACATTTTTCTTAGATTGTTAACGTTTGCTTCAACACATAGTGAGGATTAAATGACCAGATAATATAGGGAGTAATTCCGTTCTCCTGTCGGCAGCAGTGATCTCAATAAAGGTGGAGATTAGGAAATAAAGAGGCCTGGCAGTGTTAGACAAACTTATTGAGCATACAGTATTTTCTCCAGCCTCTGAGCTTCTATTGCAGGAGCTGAAACACGACAGATACTGACCGTGAGGAAAGTATGCTGCATAGAGGAGCAAGCAGTTCAGAGTCATTTCTGCTTTCACAGAGAAATATTTCCATGTGCGATGCAGTAACTGGTGTTGTCGAGCAAAAGCTTTGAAAAGCTGTGGATAACAGTGGACATCTCAGACAAGACGATGATGTCAGCAAACAAATAAAAGCATTTTACATTTTTAATTACATGAACGTAA